AATTCATATTGTTAATATGTCCATACTACCCAAGTGATCTAGAGTCAATGCAATTCCTACGAAAATACCAATGACATTTTTCACATAAACAGAAAATACAATCTCCAAATTTGCATGGAACCACAAAAGACAAAATAGCCAAAACAAGCTTGATCAAAAAAACAAAGCTAGAGGCATCACACTACCTAACTTCAAAATATACTACAAAACATAGTGATATGGTTTGGCTGTGTCCCCACTTAAATCTCATCTTGAATTGTAGTTTCCATAATCCCCATTTGTCATAGGAAGCATCCAGTGGAAGGTAATTGAATCATGGGGGCAGTTACCCCCATGTTGCTGTTCTTGTGACAGTGAGTGAGTTCTCATGAAATCTGATGGTTTTATAAGGGATTTTTCCCCGTTTCGCTCGGAACTTCTCCTCCTGCCATCATGTGAAGAAGGATGTGTTTGCTTCCCCTTCTACCATTATGTTTCCTGAGGCCTTCCCAGACAGGCAGAACTGTGAGTCAATTAAACCTCCTTCATTTATAAATTACCCAGTCTCGTGCAGTCCTTTATAGCAGTGTGAGACTGGAATAATACACATAGTAACTGAAACAGTATGGTATCAGTATAAAAACAGTCGAATAGACCAATGGAATGGAATTGAGATCCAATAAATAAATCCATGCCTTTACAGCAAGCTAGTTTTTGACAAACATGCCAAGAACACACAATGGAGAAAGGACAGTCATTTCATGCAATGGAGAAGAGACAGTCAATAAATGGCATTGGGGAAACTGCCTATCAACATGCAGAAGAATGAAATTAGACTCTTATTGCATAGGATATGCAAAAATGAACTCAAAATGGGTTAAAGACTTAAATGTAAGGGCCCAAACTATGAAACTACTAAAAGAAAACATAGGGGGAACCTATAGCCTGGTTAATGATTTTTGGGAAATGATCCCAAAAGATCAAGCATCAAAAGCAAAAGTAGACAAATGAGATGTCATCAAACTAAAACTTCTGCACAGCAAAGGAAATAACAGAGTGAAGAGACAACCTATGGAATGGGAGAAAATATTTGCAAGCTATACATCTGATAAAGGGTTAATATCCAAAATACATAAGGAACTCAAACACCTCAGTAGCAAGAAAACAAACCACCTGATGATAAAATGGGCAAAAAAAAAAAAAAAAAAAAAAAAAAAAAAAAAAAAAAAAACCTGAATAGACATTCCTCAAAAGAAGACATATAAATGGCCAATAAGTATACAAAAAAGTGTTAAACATCACTAATTATTAGGGCAATGCAAATCAAAACCTCAAATCCCACCACTGCTTTATCAAATAAGTTTATGTAATATTCAAAATCTTTTGTTGTCATTTCAACAACGTTCACAGCATCTACACCAGGAATAGATTTAATCTCAAGAAATCACTTTCTTTGTTCATCTATAAAAAGCTACTCATCCATTCAAGTTTGATCATGAGCTTGTAGCAATTCAGTAACATCTTCAGGCTCCACTTTTAATTATAGTTCTCTTGCTATTTTCACAACCTCTGCAGTTACTTTCTCCACTAAAGTCTTGAATCCCTCAAAGTCATCCATGAGTGTTAGAAACAAGTTCTTCCAAATTCCTGTTAATGTTAATGTTTTCACCTCCTGTCATGCATCACAAGCATTTTTAATGGAATCTAGAATGGTAAATTATTCCCTAAAGGTTTTCAATTTTCTTTGCCCAGATCCATTAGAGAAATCACAATCTATCTATGGCAGCTGCAGCCTTATGAAATGTATTTCTTAAATAATAAGACTTGAAAGTCAAAATTATTCCTTGATTGATGGGCTGCAGAAGAGATATTTTGTTAACAGGCAAGAAAATAACATTCATTTCCTCATACATCTCCATAGAGCTCTTGGGTGACCAGGTGCATTGTCAGTGAGTAGTAATATTTTAAAAGAAATTTGTATTTTTCTGAGCAGTAGGTGTCAAAAGTGGGCTTCAAAATAATCAGAAAGCAGTTTGCCTATTGCCCTTTATTGACTGTCTTTTCTCCATTGCATGAAATGACTGTCCTTTCTCCATTGAGTGTTCTTGGCACCTTTGTCAAAAACCAGTTTGCTGTAAAGACATGGATTTATTTATTGGACCTCGATTCCATTCCATTGGTCTATCAGTAAACAGTTGTGCTGTCATCCAGGCTTTTCTGTTACACTTATAGAGTATGAATAGAGTAGATTTAGCATACTTGTTAATGGCCTTAGGATTCTGGGAATGGCAAAAGATCATTGGCTTCAACTTACAGTCACCAGCTGAATTAGACCTTAACAAGAGAGTCAGTCCCTCTTTGAAGTTTTAAAGCCAGGCACTGACTTCTCTAGCTAGCAAAGTCCTAGATGGCATCTTCTTCCAGTAGAAAGCTGTTTTGCCTAAACTGAATATCTGTTGTTTGGTGTAGCCATCTTTATCAATGATCTTAGCTAAATCTTCTAGATGACTTGCTGCAGCTTCTAAATGAACACTTGTTACATCATCTTGCACATTTATGTCATGGTTATGGTTTCTTTCCTTAAATCTCGTGAACCAATCTCTGCTAGCATCAAATTTTCTTCTCCAGCTTCCTCACCTCTTCCAGACTTCACAAAATTGAAGAGTTACGATCTTGCTCTAGATTAGGCTTCGGCTTAAGAGAATGTTGTGGCTGTTTTGATCTTCCATCCACACCACAAAAACTTTCTCCATATCAGCAATAAGGCTGTTTTGTCTTCTTATCATTTGTGTGTTCATGGGTGTAGCACTGTTTGTTGCCTACAAGAACTTTTGCTTTGCATTCACAATTGGCTAACCATTGGGTGCAAGAGGCCTAGCTTTCAGCATATCTTGGTTTTCAACATGCCTTCCTCACTAAGCTTAATCATCTCTAGCTTTTCATTTAAAGTGAGAGATATGCCACTCTTCCCTTCACCTGAACACTTAGAGGCCATTGTAGAGTTGTTAATTGGCCTAATTTGAATATTACTGTGTCTCCCAGAATAGGAAGGCCCCAGGTGGGGGAGAGAGAGACAATGGAACAATAGTCAATATATGGAATCAACCTAAGTATCCATTAACCAATGAATGCATGAAGAAAATGTGATACACACACACACACACACATATACAATGGAATACTATTCAGCCATAAAAAAGAAAAAATCCTGTTATTTGCCAGAACATGGATCAACCTGGAGGACACTTTGTTAAGTGGAGTAAGTCAGGCACAGAAAGACAAATACCACAGGATCTCATTTATATATAAAATATTTAAAATTTGATCTAATTGAAATAGAGAGTAGAATAAAGGCTAAAAGAGTCTAGGGAAGTTCAAGGGTGAAGACTGGGGAAATGTTGGTCAAATGACACAAAATTACAGTTACCTAGGGGGAATAAGTTAAAGAGATCTTTTATATAGCATGGTGACTATAGTTATTGATAAATATATTGTATTCTTAAGTGGTCATAGTGGTGTGTGCCTACACTCCCAGCTACTTGGGAGGCTGAAGCAGGAGGATTGCTTGAGCCCAGGAGCTTGAGGCCAGCCTGGACAATACAGCAAGACCCTGTCTCTAAGTATGTATGTATATATAGACAAATATGTACATATATACACACATATATGTACACATATGAATGTATATATACACATGTATACACACATATATACACACATACATATATGTATGTGTCTGTATATATATGTACACACATATGTGTATATATGTATGTGTGTATGTGTAGTATTCTTAAAAAATGCTAAGACGATGGATGTAAAGTGTTCTTACCACAAAAATGGTACAATGTGAGGTGATGTATTTGTTAATCAGCTAGATTTAGCCATTCCATCATGTATGTATACTTCAAAACATCATGTTTACACAATAAATGCATGCAATTTTATCTGCCAATTTAACATAAATAAGAATTCAAACACACAGAAAAAATGAAACTTATTCTTGTATTACTATTCTAAAACTTTGTAACATTTTAATTCAGAAAATAATTGGTGTTATGTGTGAATAAGTAACACATGTTTTGAAATTTTTTTAAGTGTATACTTAATATTCCAAAAATTCCATCACATACTTTTGATTGATGTACTTATTGAAATTTTCCCTGATCCTGTTTGATATCATGCTAGAGAGCCTCTGTCTATCTCTCTGTGTCTACACTTTGCCCTTCTCGCCCTGCTCTGCCTCCCAGTGTTGAGTGGAAGAACCACCCAACATCTAGGTATGGTTGATACTTGCTTTAAAGTATAAGATTTGGGACTTTTGAACTGATGAGATTTAGTTGAAATTCTGGATCTCATCCACCATGCTCACATGAATTATGCACCGTTGTCCTCTGGTTGTGGATAACTTCATCTGGTGAGAGGCACTGGCAGATGGGAGGGTGGGAGGTAAGTGAGGTCAGGGTATTTATCCCTCCTTGTCTCTCACTGCAAGACTGAAGGGTTGGCAGCGGCCATGCTCCTCTGCCTAGGGTCATAGCACCTGGCCTGTCCGAGATCCTTCACCCATAGATACAACTCTCTCTAGGTGCTACTGGCCGTTATTCCCCTTCCATCTTGGGTGGTGGAACTATATCTCCGTATCATGAGATCCTGGTGCCTCCTATCACTTACTTGTTCTCTTAACCCTGCCCACAGCTCCATAAATAGTCTCTTCAAGAAACTCTCTTATCACCCCTTTGAGTGTGTTGTCTATCCTCACTGGAACAGCTATTATGGTATTCCTCTGATAGCATCAATCTAACATAGTGAATTATTTTTTCCCATAAATAAAATTATTCCAGATTTTCAAAACATTTCCATTTTCAAAGAATTAGAACTAGCCATGACTAATGTGGGGTTTTTTTACTCCTTTAATAACAACTAAAATGAAAGGGAGTCGTTTGGATAATTTTTTTTTCTCCTAGGATACTTCTGCTATAACCAACTCTTATCACTGAATAATTTGGGTTCCCAAATACCTGTCATCGCCATCAATGATGCACTCAGGAAAGGCGAGACTACAGCCAAACAGCATGATATGTTGATAGCAACTGAGGCGATGGAGATATGTGAAAAACTTAAGGAACTTCTCCATTTCCATGTTTCTGACAACTGACAGGAGAGGTGTCGGTGTGGAGTGGTAGGGCAGCATCTGACACTGGCTGTGGGTGATGTTCATGCAGGCACCTGGGAAGTAAAGACAAGCACATTTAAGGGTGGACACATCAGGAGCAGATGTTTGCAAACTCATTTAGTATTTGTTTATAAGATAAAGTATACTTACTGTAAGAAAAAATTTAGATATGCAATCATACACATATGTGCATGTAAGTATGTATATGTGTAGGATAATGAAATCAAGCTACAAATACTTACAGAGGAAGAGTATTCGTGTCCTGGGAAAATGTGTGGAAAATACATACTCTGCATACATAGCTGGTGGACCTATAAACTGGTAATCACCTTTTCTTTCGGATCCCAGTAGGGCAGGGCAATATGGATCCAAAAAAAAATCTTTTCAACGTGCAAATTCTTTGACGTTGTCAAGTCATTTCTAGAAATTTATCCTAAGGAAATAATCATATTTGTGAATGTGGATTTATCTACGGGGATCTTGATCTTTGCATAGTTTACACTTTTTAAAAGATAGAAATCATCTAAATATTCAGCAAAAAGTACTGTTCTAAATATATGGAACAAACAATAGAATATTTAGGTACATGAAAGATGCTTCAGAAGACTAATCACATGGGATGATGCTCATAATATAATAAATAAAAGTAGGAAGTCACAAAACAATTCATATACAATGATCTTGTTTTAAAAACACAATTTTGCAAAGATTTGTAATCCTGTCTATGTCAACAGTTCAGGAGCAGCTCAGAGCCTCTGATATTATCGTCGCCCATAGTTGACTCTTTTGGGCAAAACTACATCCATGGCTTTTCCAATGTCTTCATGCCAGAAATTTGCCTGGTTGGCCCGATACAAACAAAAATGTTGACGTGCGTTATATGATGGGATTTTAGGAGTCTCTACATTTTCTTTTTTATTCGGTATTCTCTTGTCTGTATAAAGATTCATTGCTTTTATTGTTGTTGCTTAAACAAGATTCTCTTATTCACAATTACCTCAGTTTCAAGGCCTAGTTATACGAAATCATATCTATATTATACATGAGAAAACTCAATTTTTAGAAGGCTAAGAAATCTGCCTAGAGGTGCATAGCCATTACGTATAAATTTCAGCTCTGAAACTATGTCTTCTGAGTAATTTCCATTACTTAGAGCCAATGTAGAGGATTATGTTAAAAATAGTTCTTAAGATAATTCTTAATAGTTCATGAGAGGAAGAAGCTAAAAAGCATATAATGAAATATCACAAGGTCTGTATTTATAGTAATATGTAATACACCCATATATTTTGACCACATCTTTTTATCAGTTTCAATTATATTATTTTATTTAGAGGTTATCAGCTTTTGGGCTTATGCCTTTGATGGAAGCCCATATTTGAATAACAAAAGGCTCATTCCCTCCATCTAGCCAAAGAAACCACTGAATATTAAGAGATCATTTGAAAAATGCAAGATAGAAAACATCCTAGGGGTCGGGCGTGGTGGCTCACGCCTGTAATCCCAGCACTTTGGGAGGCCGAGGTGGGTGGATCACAAGGTCAGGAGATTGAGACCATCCTGGCTAACACGGTGAAACCCTGTCTCTACTAAAAATACAAAAAATTAGCCGGGCATAGTGGTGGGCACCTGTAGTCCCAGCCACTCCAGAGGCTGAGGCAGGAGAATGGTGTGAACCCGGGAGGTGGAGCTTGCAGTGAGCCGAGATCGCTCCACTGCACTCCATCCAGCCTGAGCGACAGAGCAAGACTCCGTTCCCCACCACCAAAAAAAAAAAAAAAAAATCCTAGGAATTTTCCCATAGTAGCATTTGGAGAGCTTCATTGTTTCCTTTACTGCCACATAACATTCCATTGTATATTGTACTGGGATTTATTTTAAAAACCTCCCTTTAATAAATATTTGAACTGTTTTCAACTTTTTGCTATTATATTGCTGTAATAAGTAACCTGTACATATGCCTGAAATGTACAATAGATTCCCAGAAGTAGAATTGCTAGGTAAATGGATAAATGCTTTCAGAATTTTGGCAGCTATTGTCAAATTCCCCCATCGTCGAGAAATACCATTTTGCATTCTCGCCAACAGTGTGTGAGGATGTCTGCTTTTTCAGTCTCATCAACAGAGAACAGTGTCAAACTTTTGGATTTTTGCTAATCTGATAGGTGAGAAATTATATTGTAGGGTGATTTTTCATTTGCATTTAACTTGTTGCCAGTGAAGTTGAGCACCTTTTCATATATTTAAGGACCATTTGCATTTTGTCTTCAGTTTCATATCCTTGGAAGATTTTTCCTACTGACTTTTAGGGGTGTTTTTTCTACTTTTATAAGCTCCTTATTAGGGAGATTAATGTACTGAAATATTCTAACACTTTTTCTTTACTTTTGTGGTTTTGAGATTATTTTAAAGAACAACTACATAATCATTTAATAGATGAATATATTTTATTCTACTTTAATCCAGCTGTTGGTGATAAAAAGATTTGAAAGTTGAAAAGTAGCCAGTTCAGAGGCAGAGCTCAAAATCGAATCTGGAGTAAGGTATGATAATATCTGACATTTGAGTACCCCTTTATAGTTTACAAACCACTTCTACCCTTATCTTTTAAGGTTGTATTAGTTAGGTTTGGTTTGGCTGTAGTGAAGGAAAACTGAATATAACATTGCTCTAAGCAGAACAAAATTTCTCTGCCCTATAATAGTCTAGATGAGTGGTCCAGGACAGGAATTGGATCCCGTGGTGCCAGAAACATAGGCTCTTTATGTAGCCCTAACTTCATGGCCCAAGACAGTGAAACCTATGGTCCAGACAGAAGGGTGGAGAAGTAGTAAAGAGGACAAGGGCACACTCTTACTATTTCTTAAGAACAGTTCCAGCTGCTACAAGACCCTTCCACATATATCCCCTTATCCAGAACTTCGTCACATGGCCACATCTAGTTGCATGACAGGCTAGGATTATTCCAGTTTGACATGTGCCCAGATAAAAATGGGGAGTGGGGTCAATTACAAATGAAGGAGAAAGAATACTGGTGTTCAACCAGAAACCTCTGCCAGAAAAATAAATAGAGAAGGCATCATTATACTAATTATAAAAGAAAATAAAGGTCGCAGTGGCTCACACCTGTAATCCCAGCATTTTGGGAGGCTAAGGCGGGCGGATCACCTAGGTCAGGAGTTTGAGACCACCCTGGCCAACATGGTGAAACCCCATCTCTACTGAAAATACAAAAATTAGCTGGGTATGGTGGCGGGCACCTGTAATCCCAGCTACTCGGGAGGCTGAGGCAGAAGAATTGCTTAAACTCGGGAGGGGGAGGTTGGCAGTGAGCTGAGATTACACCACTGCATCCCAGCCTGAGCAACAGAGCAAGACTCTGTCTCAAAAAAAAAAAAAAAAAAGGTACAACTATTTTCCTATTCAAGATGTTTGATTAAGCATATATCCTCCCTCCTGACACCTCACCAAAAAAAGAATAGTAAAGGGGAAAAAAGCATAAACTCATAACAGCAAAGAGCATAGAGAGGGGCTTCCATCAGTACATAAATATTTTTAGCAAATTTCCACCATCCAAAAACAGCATGCAAAAAATTTTGAAGTTTATGAAAGACGATGAAGTCAATTTGCCCAGCAGAACCTAGGAGACGTTCCGGGCTGGAGTTGGCAGATAAGGCAGAGAAGAAGAACAAAAACTGGAACTAAAAAAGGGAGACATTAAAGATCTGTATATGAAACAATTGCTCCTCACTCCACCCACAGACACAGAATACAAGATGGCCAGGAAATTACCACCATTAAAAAGAAAAAAAAAAGAAAAATAGTCATCTATCTCTAAAAAAATTACACAAGTGGTCTGAAAACCGAGAAAACTGGCATGGCTATTGGTACCACAGATAAGGTTAATAATAACTGAAAATGTCACTCTGAAAAAATAGAAATAGTTCAAGACAGAAGAGAACTTTTTAAAAAATCATCAATAACTTCAGAGTAAAGTGATCATGTAATTTATCATCCTACCCGAGAAAATTTAAAGAATGATAACAATGAGCAATTAATAGCTATGCCATGAAAATAACTCTAAACCATGACTGTCTCCTATGAGGCAAGATATATAGATTTAAATAGGTATTGCATCCATAAATGAGAATAGGATGCTAAGAAAAAGAAAACTCAGAAGAGAAAACCTTATAATCGACACCACATAAATGCAAAGGATCATAAGAGATTACCATGAATTATACAACAACAAATTAGATAACCTAGAAGAAATGCATAAATTCCTGGGTACATACAACTTACCAAGACCGACTCATGAAAAAACAGAAAACCTGAACAGCCCAATAATGAGAAAGGATATTGAATCTGTCAGACCTCTGAGCCCAAGCTAAGCCATCATATCCTCTGTGACCTGCAAGTATACATCCAGATGACCTGAAGTAAATGAAGAATCACAAAAGAAGGGAAAATGGCCTGTTCCTGCTTTAACTGATGACATTACCTTGTGAAATTCCTTCTCCTGACTCATCCTGGCTCAAAAGCTCCCCCACTGGGTACCTTGTGACCCCCACCCCTGCCCTCCAGAAAACAACCCCCTTTGACTGGAATTTTCCACTACCCACCCAAATCTTATAAAGCGGCCCCACCCCATCTCCCTTTGCTGACTCTCTTTTCGGACTCAACTCACCTGCACCCAGGTGAAATAAATAGCCTTGTTGCTCACACAAAGCCTGTTTGGTGGTCTCTTCTCACTGACGTGAGTGAAAGAACCAGTAATAAAAAGTCTTTCATCACAGAAAAGCCCAGGACCTGACGGCTTCACTATTAATTCCACAGAACATTTAAAGAACTAATACCAATTCTTCTCAAACTCTTCCAAAAAACTGAAGAAAAACGAATATTTGTAAACACATTTTACAAAGCCAGCATTGCCCTGATACCAAAGCCAGACGAAGACACTACAAGAGAAGAAAATTACAAGTTAATAACTTTCATGAATATAGATACAAAAATCCTCAACAAAATGCTGGCAAACTGAATTCAGCAGCACATT